CCCCAAATAGGAACAAAAATAACATTACAGTCTCAACCATAGAATAAACTCATCTCAAATTTAGTCCCGGGATTAGTTATCCCTTGTACCAAACGAGCCCTTATAGTTCAAGTTGTTTTGTATTTCATGGGCTTGATGCTATGGGGTCGTTTAGTTGGGAAACAAGTTATCCCATGATTAATTATCCCAAGATTACTAATCCCGGAATTAGTTATCCTACCCTCCCATAGGGATAAAATACTACAATCTCGGCATTAGTTATACCACGATTTTATCCCAACCAAGCGTGGAATAAACTCATCTTAAATTTAATCCCGGAACTAATTACCCCTTATCCCTCGTACCAAACGAGCCCTATAAGTATTATCTGCGACTTCATAAAACAAGGAGAGTGGCTTCGCCACAAAATTGGTTCCAGCAATGGCAGTGTTCAAGATGGTGAGCAAACTCTACATGCGAAACGTCAAACGGCAATATGTTGACATGAGCATCAATTCATTTCAAATAAGGGTGACAAGAACGCAAACTCTTATAGATATAACTCACTGATCAATTTGGAAGCATAACGGAAGAAACAACGTATGATGAAAGCATGCAACATTTAAGCATATCAAAACTTGATCACCAGGTAAAAATTCCAATACAAGGCTCCGGCAACAAAGCAAAAGTGCGAAAAATTACCAATTCCAATGTAATATAAGAACGTAAAACAAATGAGATTCTAAAGGAAAGGAGAAGACAAGTTATGCAATGCCAACTTCACTTCCCAAAAGTAAAAAATACAGGTAAACAAATGACAGTGCCCTTCAATTTCTTTTACAGAAAAAATTTACTTTAGTTAATAATCTATAACAAAAGGCACACTGATTTATCCTACAAAAAATAATGCTATCCAAGAAAATAAGCTAAACACCCTGCAAGTTAGCAGCAGCTCTTTTCCACCAACATTTCCAGTAAAAACTACATTTACCTTAAAAACTAGTGGCAATTTTTGCACATTCCATTAGTTTTTTGCTTGTAGGAGAACTACAACGACATTCTTTCCCTACTTCGACCCAATATAATAATAAATTTAACAGAGTGAAGCAGAAAATGAGAAGGGGGGGGATAAGAACGCGAGGTCATCAGTCTGCTGACAAAGACAGTTGCTTCGAGTGGAATCTTTCATCCACTTCTGCACCTCGACATCAAAGACATGTTACAGGTTGGAGGCACCTGGAAGTGATATGGTAGAACCTCAAGCTGCTTCTGAAGAAAGCGTTTCTCAAAAAGCAACCTGAAAAAATGTTATCCAAGAAAACTACATTCCTCCTGTTAACACTTATGCGTAGTACATATACAAGCTGTTTGCAGCGGCACAGGCAATCGAATTTTCAGTTGGATGCCATGCTAGATGGAGCAGCTTTGTTGTGAAATCAAATGAATTTCCATTTGCATCAACCCCTGGACTCTCTGATCCTGTAATGCAAATAAATAAATTCCAGTATATTTCATCGTGAACAAATTTTCAAGTAATAAGAAAGTATGAACATGACTTATTGTCGAGTGCATATATGAATATAACGCATACCTCTCCTGACTACACGTGTTATGCTACTGCTCAGGGACCTGGAAGGCCTTGAAGGGGTCTGCACTTGTCTTCTGGAGGAGAGCAATCAATGTCAGTCAGACACCACGACAAACAACATTTAAATCCATATCTGTTCACGTGACGAAAATACAATATAAGTACCTCATGGGGTTTTTGCTAGCTTCCAGTGTAGTAGCTTCAGTAGTCCCCGCAGCACAACCAAAAACACGGAAAAGATTGCTGAAATCATAGTAGTTATTTGTCAACAACTAAATCAGCAGTGAAGAATAAAAGGAAAAACAAAATAGATTACAGTCTACACACCTATAAGAACCAGTTGCTACTCGCAGCCCATCACCACTAAGGCAACACTCGAACTTATCAAAAATGGAGTCGTTCTCATATAAATCACATAGCTGCATACCAGTAGAAAATTACACCTCTGATCAGCTAAGCCACAAACCAAACATAGTCAAGTAACATTTTGATGCAGATGGTAATTCACCTTTGGTCTCAAATATTCATGAACCTGGAAGGTTGATACTGGACCAGAATCCATATTTATGTCCCATAGCTGAAAAGCAAGGTGAGTTCAGTAACAAGGAACACATATTGTCCATATAAAGAGGTTCTGCTCATAGAGATGGGAAAGCATACAAACATGGAAGACCAGTGGTCCTCCTAACATCAAGCTGAAAAAGAAAAGACCCAGCTTGAACTTGCAAACAACAAGCAGCAACTATACTTTTTTTTTTTGATTTGCACCGGGTGTCCGAGTCTCTAAGAGCCCCGACTAATCCCGGGGGTGCACAGGCCCTTGGCAAGGAGTTTCCCGCAAGTGCACCACGGTTAATTCAGGTTTTACCCAATCCGATGGCCCTCAGAAATTGTTTGCACCCAATGGGTTTCGAACTTGAGGCCTTGAAAGGGAGCAAACCCCAAGGCTCAAGTCAATTGCCACCAGGCCAACCATGAGGGTTGCAGCAACTATACTTAAGTTACAAAAATTCTAGGTCTTGATCTACTTTAACTCTAAGTAGTTTAGCAAAAACATGCAAGCATCAAATAGTGGAGCACAGCATGCTAAATAAAACTAGGCATAGACAATAGAGCTATACTTAGCAGCACTCAATAAACTTGTTTAAGATAAAGTCAGAGTAGTTCCTATGAAAGAACTGACTAGATATGCAAGGAATAATATGCATATATCAATCGAAGGGAGGCTCAAAGAATCATTATCCATTCCACTGTATTCAGGTTCATCGCATTCCAAGTTTCGAACACTAAGTAATTTGTCTTCTAAGGCAATAGAACACATATACAAGGGAAGAAAAGTACTCAACATTCAACTACCTAAGTTCCAAAATCAGAGGTCAACGAACTTGGAATACATCTATATTATGTTAATAACTACTTTTCAATCCATCATATTGAACATAGGTGAGAAAAAACGAAATAGAGGATAACGAGAGGTTTCTACCAAGATTTGTTTAGAAAAATTTGAAAACTTTTGTTCATCAATCATAAAATTAAGCTCTCAGAAACTTACAACTAGCACAGAAAAGAAATTATGAATGCAAAAATTTCCAAAAGGTATTATAAGGATCAAAGAAGAACACCAAAATCAACTAATACAAATAAAAGTCAAAACTTGCAAGCACCATGAACATGAACTATGTTGAATGCAACTAGAAGCCTCATAGATGTTCTTTTTTGTAGTAACCCACGAACCCTAGGAGAACACTAAGTGCACTCCAGAGTATCCATATCATATTACCATATTCAATGCAATATCAACTGAGTGGGGTTCTCCATCAGATCATGGGGATAATGATTATTAGAAATGAAACGCAAAAGAGCTGGAGATATTGTTTCCAAGAAAGGCCACGGATCTTGCCATGAGCCACACGCTAATGCTACCTCATTGGAACTATACTATAGTTTACAAAGCTTTTATAGATCAAACAGTGCCTTCAACAAGTATAACGAACATGAATGCGAAGTACACACTGCAATTGGTGCAACTCTCAAAATACTCTTAGGTATCACAAAAGAAAAGTAAAAGGAATCAACCTTTAGGGTCATATAGTCACGACTGAGTATGTATCTTCCATCCTTGGAAAATTTAATATCTGAAATTGAAGCAATTATCTCGGTGAAAAAAGATCTTGAACCAGGTGCTTCTTGTTCCTCGAACCTGCATACAAGGCACCAATGTTTACAATTTATTAAAGCTATCAGCAAGTAATTTGTAATACATATCCTGCTTAGCAAAAATAGCTCTATT